CTGCTGCACTCCTCAGCAGCCCGGTTGCTGGTAGCAGTGCTGTGCTGTCCTGTCTGCTCTGAGGCTTAGCGTCAGGTCACGGGAGCTGAGTACGGAGCTAGAGGAGTGAGTTCATTCAGGAAAATCTTAGTTATGGATACCAGTGGCTCCACAGTGGTTTACAGAGGTGACTTGCTCTGAGTGGAGGTGATGTGCTCAGCCAGCCAGCTGGTAACTAAATCCTCAGAATAGAAGCTAGCACTGAACCAGTTCAGAGGGGAACACTTCTGCTGAAGGGGTTTTGGCCTGAAAGGATGGTGGAAGGGAGGTGTAGGCTGTGTGATAGATCACCCTAAAGCCCATTTAGGTACAACCCTGTGCCATGGGCAGGGACACCTTCCTCTGGATCAGGTTGCCCAGATCTCCATCCAACCTGGTCTTGAATGCTTTCAGGGATGGGGCATCCTCAGCTTTTCTGGGCAGCTGTGCCAAAGCCTCACAATATCTTCTGAATATCTAATCTGACTTGTACCCTCTTTTAGTTTAAAGGCATTACCCCTTGTCCTGTCACTATGCTCCCTGATAAAGAGCATCTCCCATCTTTTCTGTAGGTCTCCTTTAAATGCTGGAAAGCTGCTGTGATTTCTCCTGGGGCCTTTTGTTCTCTAGACTAAATAATCCCAGAAAGATGTGTAAGCTGCAAAGTACACATCCTGTTGTATAATACTGCTGTTAGGCTAATTTCAGAGTAACTGTAAAATGATGAATTATAGTGACTTTTGAGAGGTTTGCAGACCTTACTCTGGAAGAGTAATGATTCCTCTTGGCCCGTGGAATATGGTTATCCTTTTTGAATTTGGCAAACCCTACTGTTGCAAAATAATAATAAAAATTAAAAAAATAATAATAATAATCTTGGGACCCTGAGCTCCCAAATTGCTCTAGTTTTAGTGGCTATTTTCTCAGTGTTGGAATTGGTGTGTTTGTATCCAGAGGCAGGTAACAACAATATACATGGGTGAATGTCTTGCTGTCTTAGGACTTACAGGCCTACACGTGTATCACTATGCTAGTTGAGAAATTAAGTCCTCAAATTGTCACAGACATGCATGGCATTAATTCCTTTCCCTTAATACCCTGCTTATGGTATTATTTTCACTGCTTAAACAGTTGCTGGTCCCTTCAACCGTCTCAAAACACAAATAACGATGAGCTTTCAACATCAGGAGAGCAACTAGGTCCATTCTGTCACTGACAGGAAAAAGTGTATGTGTGAAAGAGAAGCACTGAAATGAGACTAGAATGTTTACACTGTTTCCTGAAATGTTGGTATGTGAGTTGTGTTGGAGGTCACAGCGGTGTTTGGGTCAAACCATGGTTTGTGCAAGCTACTTTGCTAATCCCTAGTCTAGACACTCAGTTTTCCAGTGCCTGTTAATCTTCTGCATTAATGTAGTGATATTTTTTTTGGTCTGTCACACAGTGTCAGAAGAAACTGGGCACTCCTGCTCCTGTAACTCCCATCTGTAGTTTCAGCCTCACGCATGGGGATCTGGGGTGTGTAGCCGTGTAGCTTGTGGCAATGAGCTGTCCCATTGATTTTGTAAAAGCCTTGAGTTAGCACTCAGCTGTACATAGCGTGCCTTTAACATACCTAAAGCTCGTGTATGATTACATCAACTTTTTCCTGAAGTGAGAGAAGTTAATGCGAAGGGAGAGAAAGCAGGGGAGTTGATGTCAGTCTGCCCACCTCAGAGGAATTTGTGAAGGGCTGTCTACTATTTCATGGAGAACCTGTGCTGTTCCTGTTAAGTGATGTTTTTGCTGGATTTTCCTGGGGTTTGATAAACCTATTTGGTTCTTTGACCCAAGCCAGTTATGAACAAACCCCTGACACCTGTGCACACCATTGCTCCCCTGTTCTGGCAATGAATAGCTGGCAATTCAGCTCTGATGATGACTTCCATCAAGGCTGCTATTTCTCTAGCTTGCTAATGTTATCTTATAGGACCATATAAAAATCCTTACCAAAGTCATGATACGTCATATCCACTGCTTATTCACACTCATAAGACTGATTACTCCATTTCAGGAGAAAATAAGATTGGTCTGACATGATGTGGTCCTGCCAAATCTCAGTCTGCTGCTATTTGTCACCCTTTTATCTTCTTGGTGCCTGCGGATCAGCTGTTTGATTACTTGTTGTGGTGTCTTTCTCAGCACTGAAGCTAAGCTGTTCAAGTTATTATCCCCTAAATGTCCCTTCTCTCCTGTTTAAGGAAGAGGTTACCAGTCAAAATAAAGACGGGAGGTTTTCTTAACCGACACCTGGTTCCCAGCACCCTAGCACTCATACATCAAATTTAGGAAGAAGTAATGTGGGAACTATGCTAGCTAGATGAATTACCTGTAATAGCTCAAGTGTCAATGTGTCATTGCCCTAAGGGCACCGATGGACCTGCTTGTGCCACCCGTGGGCCGATAGCACAGTATGGCCATGGCCTATGCCCAAGGGAGGTGCCTGGACAGCCCTCCCAGTGCTGTGACAAAATGGCTTGCAGCTGTGCCAGCATTTTGTGCGACATTCGTGGCAATAGAAACCAAACCCAGCTGTTGCTTTTCCAGGGCCTGGGGTGACAGAGATAAGTAGTAAGGTCCAGTGAGTGACTGCAAAAATATTTAAAGGAGCATGGTTAGCTTGGCTTTTGCTTCACATCAGTGTTGTTTACTAGGTTGGGAAGTAGAATTGGAAGCTTTGTTTGACATAACTTATAGCATAAATTTCAGCTTTTAAAGGAGCCAATCTTCCTGCTTGTGCTGAAGATAAAACCTGAAGGAAGAGTCCAAGAGGCAGGGGCCAGCACTCCCACTGAGGTGCCTGCAACAGTAGAAGAGAGGGTTGTCTGCTAAAGCATGCCTGAACCAAAACCAGAGTAAATCCATATGCAGCAGCTTGACTGTGCAGTGACTGAGTATGTTGCTTGGTACTGAAAGTAATGCAGCTTTATTTCCTGTGCCAAGACATTTTCTTTATTCTTTTATGATAAGAATGGGAAATCTGAGCATCAAGTTGACCTCGGGTATAGTAGGCATAATTTTATAGGACTTCTATCATTTTTTCCCCCTCACTTTATTCATCTTCTCTCCAAACTGAATAATCTTAACCTTTAGCTTCTCTTCATCCCCTAATAATTTCTTTCCAGAGTCTGGCTTGACAAAAATCTGTGCTCTGACCACAAGTGCTGAGCTGTCACTGACTTTTTGTATAACAGCATTCAGATAATTTGTTTTCTCCATCCTGTCCTTAGTCTGCTCTTGTTGTCCTATCTTCCACCTCTGCTGACTGACTGCTGAGGTTTTGCTCAGCTGTCCATGGAATTTCTCAGATCTGTAACACGAGTGGTCACGGTCAGTTTGCAGTTCATCAGTGTGCACGAGTAGTTGAATTTGTTTCTTCTAATGTGCATTACCTTGCATTTGCCTACACTGAATTCCATTTACTGTCATCTTATTCCACTGTCTATGTCTCTTAGGGTTGTCTGAACTGCAGAACAGCCCTCAGAGATGAGTGCAGAGACATTTTTACCTCAAAACACTGCTGCAAGAGACACCGCACATGAATTTGCCATGTGCGGTGTCTCTTGAGTTGTCACCAACCCTATTAAGATGGATTAAGTGAACTGCTGCCTGACATTGATGGTCTCTTGCCCTCTAACAGTCTTAAAAGTAGTCATGTAGCAGAGGAAGAAGCATGATCAAACCTAATATTAGAGGATATCCAAACTGTTTTAAATAGGGTGATTGTATAGGAACTGCTGAGTCACGGCCTGAACCTCTGATTGATCACCTGAGGTGAGCCATAAGTCAGCCAGAGGAGCACAGCTGAAGGCAATTCACCTGTGCTGCAGGAAGGGATGGAGCCTGGCTGCACCTCTCCTAGACCCATTTAAGAGCTGACTGCCAGTGGGGAAGGATCTCTTCTGGAGACCTACTCTGCTGGAGTTTTGTAAGTGAGCATAGGATATGGGTAAGCTTTCTATCTATTCTCTCTTTGTTATCATAATCTGCTTTGCCTAACTCTCTTGTTTATTTTGTAATTATAGCATCTTAATATTCATTGATTATACAGGGATCTTGAGATCTGGAGATTTTCTTGCCACTTTCTATGAGTTGCAGATATGTCAGAATCTGCCTCTTCCAGCAGATTTAGGGAGATCTAGCATACCTTCGTACAAGGCTGGAAGCATCTTATGGCTTCTTCATGATTCCATCTTTCAAACTGCAACCGTAGACAGTTTGTTTAACAGCTTTTTTGCTGTGTGAATTATCCCAGTTTCCCTACCAGTGGCTGTAGTGAATGGTCCTCAAGTGCTGGCATTGCGTGGGCTCAATGACCCAAGAAGGGAAAGTTAAGAAGCCTTTAGAGAGCAGAGAGGGGATAACCCAGTTGTTTTAGCTTGTGTGTAGGACTGGGGATGGTCGTATGCAGTTTTCAGTTTTATTTTGGAGTTCTGTGAAACTGGGTGGTGAGGTGCAGAAGGGAACCTGCTGAATCAGCTGTGACAGTGTTTGTATGTTTGTATGCAGTAGTGATTGACGAAAAGCTGAAAATGTTTTTCCTCGGAATACTGTTTTAGCCACATTGGCTGGAGCTGCTCTCAAACCTGTGCTGCCTGCAAGAGCTTCCAAATGCCTACAGTCTCACACGTTCTGTGTAACGAGTGCTACAGAGAATTTGGCTCTGCCTGGGCTATCAGAAAAGCAGCTTTCAACCCAAGCTACTCAAGTCTGTAAGGATAGCAAGGCCTGCAATTTTTCTTGGAGAAGGCAATTGTAACATTACATCCATAAGGTTTCCTCCTTTCTTTTCCAAGCTCTTGCCTGTCCTGCCTTTCTCCATACCTGACCCGCTTCCAGATGTGTCACAAGTGACCTCCCTTCCCTTAGTGTGTACATCTGAATGTGTTACCAGTGTTGAAACATCAATCAGCTGCTCTCCCTGATGCTTATCTCTTTTCTAGGTGACGAGGGCTCCCCAGGGAGAGAAGAACAGCAGGAGGGCTTTTGATGAGAAAGCTTATCTGTCCTCAAAGCTGCTGAAGGCTGGAGAAGACCCCTACCGCCAGCATGCTTTTAATCAGCTAGAGAGTGACAAACTCAGCAGTGACCGGCCCATACGGGACACCAGGCACTACAGGTACTGTGCAACCCTTGCTCCAATCCATGGCTGCTGCTTGCTGTGGGGAGTCCAGAGACTTCCTGTGTTCTGCCCTGTTAACAGAAGATGGTTTTAGCTTTTCTTCTCTAAGGTCTGTCACTTTGTTTCATGGTTAATCTGGAAAGGTCTCAAATGCATGGGAGACCCCTGGCTAATTCAGTCCTAGTTTGTTGCTTTTCTAGCATATCTTCTCCCAGGTCTAAACTCCATCCTATTACTTCAGCATTTGGGTTTCAGAACAGCCCCTCTATTGCAGTTTAAATTGCTTGACCGGAAGCTGTTTTTTTGCATAAAATCCCCCACACTCAGGATTTCTCAGTGAGCCTCTGTCCTATCTGCAAGGTACTCAGCTGTTATAGCATTGCTTTACCTTAGTGTTGCTCACCTGCTATGAACTGGCTGTCTAAATCTTGTTTAGTGTGTTCTGAGTGTTACGGTTTGGATGAACTCTGCTGAGGTGGGGGTGAAAATACGAGCTTTTCATGTTCAGACAGTGAATATTTCATGGCTCGCAGAGTGCTCCTTGTTCTGTCCTTGTTTCACTGGAGTGAATTTATTTTGCTGACTAAGCTAATCTGTAAATGACTACCAGAGCTCAGGTAATTATTTTGTTCTTTCTGTAGTACAGAAAGGTAACACTACCTTGAAGATGATAGGTTTGATAGTAATAGAATATTGCAAAGCAGCCTACTTCAAAGAAGAAAAAATAGGAGCAAAGTAACCATGTCAGAAGCACTGGTGTCTGTTTGAAACTTAGATGTAGTGTTGCAAAGCAACGCCTCTTAACTTCTGGGAAGGGGAAACCAAGCATCTAACTTGATTGAAACTACAAAAGGGGTGTCAGGAGATGTGGAGCTCTGCAAGCCTGCCAGCACTGACAGCCATCAGGGTGCTTAGTGAATGGAAACGGCTGGGACCTTGGTTAGATGAAAGTCTTGTGCTTCTGTTCCCCAGTGTAGTATTCAGGATTGGCTTGCTGGTGACTCAGAGGCAGTGGTGCATGTCCTCTGTTACTGGCAGTCCCCCTGCCATGCAGAATTGCTGTTTGCTGTTAATCTGCTATCATGTTCTAGCCTAAACCAGTACCCTTCAAAGATGAATTATTTATTTTGATCTGTGATCTGTAGTAGCATGCAGAGGATGCTTTTTGTGAGAAGCCCTACCTGTGTGCTTCAGTCTAAAGACATGTATACTGTTCTCTGGAAATGTATAGCTACTTCAGGCCTCAGCTTTGCAGAGATTCCCTATAGCAATGGGGATGCCTTAAGCAGCGTATAATCAAGGCAGATAGATCTGTTATCATGTTCCTACTATTTGCAGGGGGATTGGTTTGAGAGTGAGATGTTGCTTTTGAGTACCGTGTCATGTAGCAATATTTGAGTGGTTGCTGTGATGACAGCTTAACGTAAGGACTTATTTCTGGTGGTACAAGTTAGATGTGGTTTGAGAAAGCCCTTCCTTCTGTCACAAATGGCTCTGGCTCAGTTCAAGAAGTCAGGGATGAATTGGTCACTACTGTATTTTTCCTTAGGCACCAAAGCTCAGGGCATATTTGAGTCTACATCCTTCAAGCTAATTCTAACTGAAGATGTAGCTAGCTGGTTTTTGATCCAGAGCAAAGGCAGACCCAGCTTACAAGCACAGACTTAATATTTGTCCCCCGTGATGCTCTAATAATGCTGAGAACTTGGAAAGTCTGTCTCAAATAATGTGCACACCAATATCTTGTTTTTCTACTTGCTGGTGACTTCATGCATTTTACATTCATTAAACCATGGAGTCATTTTGAAACAATAATAAGTGTGATATGTCTGGCCCCAAGCTTTTTATGAAGGTTTCCTTGTATGCTTGAAAATTGATGGAAGAAGTCATTGTACCCTTAACAAATGCAATTTGTTACAATGAAAAATAACAACAGATTAGAATAGTTTTAAACTAGCAGAATCGAGCATGATGATAAAAATAGTTACAGTCCAATAATAGCCATAGAAGAATGGTAAGTAACTGTAGAAGTACAACAAGTGGCTGTAAGAAATAAATCATATTCTGTCCAGTGATGTATTTAGTCTAAGCATGGCCTGGAGTAGTTAAAAATAAAAATAAGCCATAATTCCACAGGAGCACATCAGTCCAAATCTGCCATTTCTAGCACTGCCAGAACTAGATCCAAGATTCATAGCCATGAGTTGTTCTCCAGAATGCTTGTTGTCCACAGGGTATAATCAGCCTTGGCGCAAGCTGATTTTTCATTCTGAGTATATGGATGAGTATACATAATATTACTAAGTGAAATGGGAAGAAGAGAAGAATTATTTTCTGTTGCTATCTGAGATATTAATGTTCAGAAGAAAAGCTGAGGAACTTCAGTAGGCCCAAAGAGTTTGAACTGATGCCTGGATCTACCAGCTTTATGCATCCTTAGCGTGTGCACGTCCTATGCATGAAGGAACTGGAGTTTACATGAAACACAGGGAAATTCATGGGCTAGAATCCACAGTGTTGAGCATTTGTTCCCCAGGGAAGTCATGCATTCTCATCCATAATGCATGCAGCATTATGAGTTTAGGTACCAGAACCTCAAAGCTTTTGCCTTTTGGCAGGCACAGCCTGCTGTCCTTAGTACAGGGGCTGCTGAGACTTTCCTTGCTGCAGCTCTGCTGCACTGTTTCTGTTTTTAGCATGTTAGTTCTCTTCTCCTCAGGAAGTTGTAGATGTGTTGCCCCAGCTGGTGGAAAGCGTTTGGCTCATGCTTCTGCTCTTCTGTGTTACAGGTGCACCTCTGTACACTATGATGCAGACCTGCCAGCTACCAGCCTCATCATCACCTTCCACAATGAGGCCCGCTCTGCGCTGCTCCGCACAGTGAGGAGGTGAGTTCAGCAAGAGGGGCTGGGCCCTGGGGGGGCACCATTGCAGAAATAGACATTTTCCAGTGGTTATGCAAGCAAGGTGGGTGGACCTCCCCTGTATGCTTAGTGATCTGTCCTAGACGTGGCCCACGAAGATGGGTCTGGGCTGGGGATTGGTGATGTGGGTGTTTCTTCAAAGTGTCTGCAGGTAGCTACTGCATAGTTCTTGTGATGGGATCATTAGCAGCAGGAAAAGGGCTGCCGGTCCTGCCTCCGCAGATGGGGAATGATCAGTATGATCTTGGTTTGGAAGATTGAGGGACCAGAGGGGGAAAATGTGGGCTTCCAGATGTAGCTGAGGGGATGGGCCTGGGAGGGTGTATTTTAACAGAAATATGCAGCCAGTCTCCTGCTAGGGTACATGTTTCAGGAGGTGGGGCTATCCTACTGAGAACAGGGTGAGCAGTCTTTCAAGCAGAAAGCTGATTAAAAGAAACATCTGAACCTAATGGCCCACCAGGTCTTCCCTGGGGCTTTTCACACAGACCCTGTTGTACGTACAGGACACCTGCTATCTTGTGCCAGTACCTCCTAATGTCTGAGTATCAGCAGTAGCCAAATCTATCAGGTAAATAGTGACATAGAGTCTTGTCCCCAAGCAGAAGAAAGCGTGCAATTATCTGTACCACAAAGCAGTGCTGCACTTTCCCCTCCTCATCATCCCTGTAGAATCTGGGGAGGTTCTTTTCCTTTTCCTTTTTACATGAAAAAATGCCCTTTGCCCTCGGAGTTATCAAGCCTTTGTTCACATGGTCCCTGAAGCCTGCAAGCGAGTCCAGGAACAGCTTGTGAAGCCTGAAAGGAGATTGAATTGTTCAGGTAGAAGGTTGAATTCATGGTTTCACTAACAGGAATGTATTATTCATCATCATCACTTCTCCTGTCAGGTCCTGTGGGCTTAGAGAAATGTACGTTGTGAATAAATAACAGGCTTTCCCAAGTTGGCCTCATGGTTAGAAGGCTGTGTTTCAGTCTGCCGGGTTTGGTGCTGCTGTATTTTCAGAGTCCTGTATATATTGCATTAACACATTTTTGCCTTTTCTTATCATTTTCTTTTCATTTAAACCATAAAATTAACTCTACACAGCCACCGTTCAGAAAATGAGTAGATTTGTTTGGAACTACAGTGCTGCTAGTAGGACAACAGCAGGAGATTTCTGCTGATTATATCATAGGTCAAACAATAAATCGTTAGGTGCTCAGAAACTGTGATAGCGTGATCCTTAAGAAAATCTCAATGCAGCCAATCAAATAGAAGATGCTATGATGATAAAATGTAGAGAAGATGACATTCAAAACAGAAGTAACCCGTAAAGATAGGAATTGATATCCAGATCCTCTGTGGGTTATATGTACTAAGGACCAGATGAATGTTGCCAATGCATAATGCCAGACTTGCTCAAAGCAAGATCAGCTTGAATAGGTTGCTGAGGTCTATGTCCAGTTTGTTTTGAGTATCTCCAAGGATAGTGACTCTGCAACATCAAATGTCAGAAGTGTTCTGGATTTATCCCTGTTTGGTGAGTGGTCCCAAAGGATGAATTCTTGGGTTCTACAGTATTTTCAGTGGCACACAGCCAGGCATTGGCTAGTAGCCTTCACTTTTAAATCAGAGAAGGCTTGATAACCATAAACACAGGACATAATTTCAGAGAAGAAAAAAGGAGAAAAAAAAAAAAAAGTATCTGGACTGATGGGAGAGGGACAAATCAGCATAGAGCAGCTGGAATATTAGTAGAATATTGGCAATATTGAAATGGTGTCATGGGATAAAGTAAGGGCACTGACATTGAAAAAAGAAAGTTGTGAGAAAAGAATAAGGAGGGTAAGGTATCCTTGAAATGAGGGGAATAGTCTCTGTTTCTGCTGTAGAAGAAGGATTAGCACTGGGATTTTGGAAGCCTAGTAATACATTCTGTGCCTAAGAGTAATCAATTGTTGTGCCAGTCTGTTCACCTCTCTGAAGTGAAATAGTAGACTGCTGTGTTCCTTGTTAAAAAGACAGGCAAGACAAAGTACAAAGAAGATTAAGTACCTTTTTCAAGGATCCACAGCAAATTATTGCAGAGCTGAGAGTGGAACTAGGCATTGAACAATAAGTAGTGAACTCCTCAAGAATATTTCCTCTCTGCTGGGGGATAGAGTGAACAACTGAGGAAGAGAAAACAAACTGTATTGCCTTTTCTCCAGTTCCGTTGATTTGGAAGACCTGAAACTTGTGGAGAAAATGCGAGTATTGCTAATAGGGTAGCAAGAGAATGTGTAGAATACCATTTTACAGCAGTTATGCTGCAGGATGTGGCCAGTCAGGACTGTTAATGTTTTGTGTTAAGTCTGTGTGAACAAGAATTTCAGTGCAAGGCAACTTTGTCTGTAAAATATGCAGATAATAGCTATTCTGGGGGAAGGGGCAATCATAAATGCAAGAAGGAACATAGCCCCACCTTCCACCCCATTATGCAGTTCTGAAGTATCCGGAGGAGTATGAGCCAAGAGCAGCAAATGAGATTCAGCTTTGAAAAATGCAATGTCTGTCATCTTGGGATGTGTGAGCTCAAAATACAAATACTCTTGAGGTATATGAAGCAGTATAAATCTGAAATGGAGTAGAATGTGATACATAGCAGCAGAGCAGAAATGATTTTGCTCTGTGGAACAGTGGAAAACTAAGGAAATTTGGGTTCTGTGTGCAAAGCCATTGGTGGTGCTAATTACCATACAGTAATTTCTTTCTCTTTAGCCTTAGTAGTCTATGCTTGGGAGTATGGTGTTGCTGCTGTTGTGTTTCCTGTGTAAAAGAAACCAAAGCAAAGAGGAAGCAAAATAAACAGAAAACAAAGCGAATTGAACAAAATAAGATAACCCAAAGTATTTAAGCAACGCTTTCTCTAAAATTGCTTGAAATCAGAAGAGCAAGTACCACTAAAATGCTAGAACCAGGAGGATAGAGATTGTCTCTGATTTTTTTTTTTAAGGCTGATATTTGCAGAATTGTCCTCTTCACTGGTGTGCTCAAGTGTGAGCAATGTTCAGTATATGAGCCATCTTACTGAGGGCAATAGGGACCTGCCTGTGCATTTGCGGAAAGAGGCTTAAAGAGGAAATATGCTGTGTAGCTCTAGTAAAGCCAGAGGAGGAGTTTGAAGAAGTTTATGGAAAATTAGTTCAGTTATTTTATAACAAATGAGAGGAATGAGGAGTTCAAAATGAAGATGCTGTAAGTTTAGAGTACTAGACTGTATTGATTTCTGTGAGTGTAAACTCTTATTCTCCTTCCTTGTATGTGAAAGTCTGCATCTTGTAAACACAAGCCAATTGCAGGCCACAGTGAATCCCAGCCCAAGGAAAAGTCTGTATTCTCAGCAAGTGATATGGCTTGAAAGAAAGACAAATAACAATCAAAAGAAGGGAATAAACAACCCAAACCAAAACAAGTCCAAAACATTGCCATAAAAGAGAATTGGTTTCTTCCCAAAAAGAGAATCATTGAGAAAAGACTGAGAGTACTCCTAGCTGGGAAAAGTAACAGCTCTCTTTTTACTTCCCAGCAGTGATGAGCTTTGTCCGGAGTCTGGTGGACAGGAACAGCTTCCTGGTTGCTGCAGGGCTGTTAATGCTCTCCTCTTTGTCTTTTAGGAGGCAGAGAGCATGCTTCATCATCCTTTCCTAGGTGCTTCCAGGCAGACCCTACAACCATCTTTCTAGCTATGGGGTCCTTCTCAGGTTTGATTGAGATGCTGTTGCTTTCTGGGATGTTTCTGCTTGCAGTTCAGCTTCCAATGGACCCTCATACAAAGAGCTGTGTTACCTCTTTCCACATTACTGAGTTTAGTATTCCTGCTGTAATGCACTGCACAGCAGACTTGTATCAGTATTACCATTATCATTATTATGGCAACTCGCAGAGACTGTCTTTTTCTTCTCTGGATCCCTGCAGCGTCCTGAACCGGACCCCTCCCAGCCTCATCCAGGAAATTATTTTGGTAGATGACTTCAGCTCAGATCGTAAGTATGGACCTATTTCCCTTTCATTTGTTCTTTCTCCTTCTGTTCTCCTTTTTGGTTGCTTTGTTTATTCCCTTCTTTCACAGAGATTCCATCATGTCTCTTTGTAAGGGAGAAGGAAAAGGGAGGTGGTATTTGTGTGTGTAGTTTACATGCATGGTAGAGGCCATGGCAGAGGTGGATGGTGAAATTAGGTATTAAAACCCGTGAGGGCTTCAGAGTCATGTCTGGATAAGGACTGATCTGCACCCAACTATTGAAGCTGGGTCTTTCTGAGTCCTAACTGTCTCACATTCAGCACCTGAAAATTCCAGTACAGTGTCAGTGGCCAAAGCGTTCCAGATCAACACAAACTGGATCTCTGGTGCCAGTACTGCACAGGCTTCAGCTACAAACTGCCATTTAGGCTCTTAGGTAGAAGAATTTTTGCAAAGCCCCATCCTATGGTAGTTCTTATTTTTCTTGCTGGCAAACAGATATCGGTGGCTCTACAACTATTCTACTGAGGCCTCTGAACTTTAGTTCACCACTTTAGTACCTGCTTGAGGACTGACACTTAGTTTTAACATCTGCCTCAGTTTCTCCTACAGAGTAACTGACTTGATATGGATTCTTGTATGTACTTGAAATTGTGGCGTAGCCAAGCTCAGTGATGCTTTCCCTTGTAGCAGATGTCCAGCAAAATCTCGGTAGGTTTTAATTAAGAACACCTGCCACTTCACTTGGATAGTGCAGCAGCTGCCAAAGTGCCCATACAAGAGCAGTATTTTAGATTGCATGCATGTATCCTTGAGAGCAGAAATGCTCTTGCAGGACCATGCCAGGAGATGCAATTTGGCTGATGGCCTTCATGTTCTCCCTGGAGCACAATATCCATGGAAGGATGGCAGTGGGAAAGAGAGGATGTGAGACATAAAGAGGAACATGGAATATGTGGAGGAATGGGATATTATAGTGGAGCAAGGGAAAACAGCGTGTTCTAGAAAGTGTTGCTTCTGTGAATGGGAGTAGAGAGGTCTGTAGGCAGCCTAGCCTGTGGCATCCTGCATGATGTGCTCCTTCATATGGCTGGGCTGGACCCAGTAGCTGTTGCTCTCCGTCGTGTTCCCTGAGCAAAGGAAATGAGGGATGGCACAAGCTCCTGGCAAGCTGCCAGCAAAGCCCTCAGTTAGACATCCGTGTGTTAGTGTAATGGTGCCTCCAGGGAAACAGATCTACTCTCCGTGGCTTTTATTAAATAAAATCAAGCAGAAACTACCCTAAGAACAAATGTTGGGAAATGCCCAAATGAGCTGCTGAGGGCGAAGAAAATGGATGAAATCATTTTATATGACAGGATTCTCTTTTACTTGGCACTTCTGCAGTTTGCAGCTCTGGCTCTCTGTGGTCTCTATGTTTCATCAAAGCCATCCGCTCAGTGCTGTGTTACCAGCACATGCCCCATTATTCTTGTGAAGTGCAAAGTGCAAGAGAATGTAGGCCTGGATTACCAGAGTGTCAGGAGGCACAGGCTCAGCTGTCTGAGGTGGGCAGTGGGCAAGCAGTGTCTTTTGTGTACCCTTCAAACAGGAGGACTGTGGCCATCAGGCTGATATTAAGTGAAAGCAGAAATTCCCCTCCCATGGAGATACAAGAGAACGGTTAGTTGGAGCTCTCTACTAAAGCCACATAATTCATGTGTATGTACCAAATGTTTTTTGCCTTCCTTAAGCTGAGGACTGTCAGCTCCTTACCAAGATCCCTAAGGTCAAGTGTCTACGAAACATCCGTCGAGAAGGTGAGTGTGGAAGCTTTGCAGGTACGAAGATTTGCTGGATTTGCCCATATGGCTCTGTTTGCTTGCCAGCTGTGTGCATATTGTTTCTTACCATTATGGTTGTTTTTTTTTTTATCAGTATAAGGGCTTGGTATCCTAGTGTTGGAGGCTCTGTGAATAGAGAATAGAGAAACCCTGTGGGAAGGGCTGGAGGGGAAGGGAACTGTCATCAAGGCAGGAACCAGGTGAGGGTTCAGTGGCATGAACAGAAGTGGCACATGAGATAATTCCTTGTGTGTTGGGAGGGCTCAGATTTGATGTTGCCCCAGGGGATGCCCTGCCAAATCTGCTTTCTGCTCCTGACAGAGGTGTTGTATTGGAGAAGTGCCTGGTCTTCTCATGTAATGTTTACAAGAAGTACTTTAGTTTTTGCAAGATGCTCAGCTGTTTACCTTTCTAACCCTTCTTTTCTTCTGCATCCCTTCCCCCTTGCAGGGCTGATTCGTTCTCGGGTGCGAGGAGCTGAAATGGCCACTGCTGACATCCTCACCTTCTTAGACAGTCACTGTGAAGTCAACAGTGAGTGGCTGCAGCCCATGCTTCAGAGAGTGAAAGAGGTGAGCACAGTCTCCCCTCTCTGAGCTGGACAGGGCTAGTGTGTCTGGGACTGATGAATCCTGTGCTCTCAGGTGCCTTGAGCAGTGCCAGCAAGGACAGAGCCTTCCCAAGTAGCCTTTCTCAGGCAAATGGAGGTACAGCTTGAGCTAGATGGGCAGCAGATTCCTGATGGACTTCTTGCATTCTGCTGCCAACATAGCAGGGCAGCAGGTGCTGAGTGATGAGATGCAATGGTGAATAATTGAACCACCAACTTGTACCTCAGCTGTCCTGCAGTGTTGTGCTTCTTTTCTGCCTGTACATAGGATAGTGACCTCAGTGCACATTGGGCAACTTTTTCCATGGCTGCTGTCTCCCTTATTGCTGGACTTTCCCCTCTGTCTTGTCGCTGCCAAAACTTTTCTTCTACTAATGCTCCTGCTGAGCTGCCAACACAAACCACCTGCATGTAGGCAGCTTCCCAGCTCAGAAGAGCTGCCTGTGCATGTGGGGACGTACCTTTGCTGGTTTAGTTCAGAAAGGATTGGTGTGAATCTGGACTGTCACCCTGGTTGCACTGTAGGGCTGGAGAGGAAAACATGGCTCTGCTAAAAGAGAAATGGGAGGGGTACGGAGAGAAGCGTTAGCCCTGCTTGCAAGAAGACTTAGCTCTGCTTGCAAGGGGCTGGGATTGTTCCCCTCCTTTGAAATAGAGGATTCTATGGAGTAATGGGCTCCAGAAAAAGGAGTTTGAGTCTTTTATGCTGACTCGTATCCATGTCTGGCTTAAACTGGAAGAAGGCAAAACTTCAGGAATGATGACTTAAAAGCTTCCACTTCTTAGTCCTGCTCAGTAAATCCTCTATCTCAGAAGCCCGCATATATTTACTTCTGCCTTTTAAGTCAACATACAGCATGGGGTTCCTAAGCTGTGTGAGTGCTGTGCTGCTAGAGTAGGTTTAAGGGCAGGGCTCAGGCCTTACTGATACACTCCTTGTGCAGTTGTCACTGTGTGAAAGGGAATATGCACGAACAAATGGCTTTTGCTAGTTGTGCCCTGCTGGCCAAGCAAAAGGAGCTACTGTTGTAGGTTGTGAAGGCTGTCAAGTGATAGCAAGATACTGGCTTTGGCACTACCAGATCTCTGTTTCATCTGGTATTTCAACTTTCAAAAGACTTTCTTCCATGCTGTGGTGGAAACTTATTATAGTCTCAAATTCTGTGTATTATAAGGATTGCACCCCTACAGCCAGTGAAGTGTCCTAATTCCTTAATATTAACATATTATGTATTTTTCACTTTGCAATTGTTTCTGGTCTGATCACGAGTTAATTCAAGAATGGCTGAGCAGAAATCAGTAGATATCAAAAACAAGCACAAAACCTTTGGGACAATGATTCATGTCCTGTATCTTGGGCAGGAAATTGAGCTGTTTCTTGGCAGCACTTCTGGGTATGTGGGTCTCTTGCCTCATTCTCTTTATCCATGGTGTACACTTGGCTAATATCCAACCTTCTCCATTTGGACTTAGTATACATCAATCACTGCTCAGCTGTCAAAACTATACTGGAAAAGCCAAATAAAAATTTGCATGCTACATGTGCAGCTTTTTTATGATCTCTGGCAGCTTTTCCAGACCCTTGAGAAATACCTGACTGCTTTTTTTTCCCCCTTTCTCTATCCCTTTCAGGATTATACCCGAGTGGTGAGTCCAATCATTGATGTTATCAGCCTGGATAACTTTGCCTACCTGGCAGCATCAGCAGATCTGAGGGGAGGTGGGTATAATTAATGGCTTTTGTGATAGCTAGGCCTGAGGGATAATGCTTAAAAAAAATAATCGATGTCTACTTCAGCTTCAAAAAAAAAAAAAAAAAATAAAAAAAAAATGCTGCTCTTTCCTGATGGGTTTTGTCCTCCTCTTCCTGCAAATTGCTAAGTTGGATATTTTGCGGAGTTGAAATAAAGTCCAAATATGGTTTTGTTCTTGAGCTTGCATCAGCATCATGGTATTTTGCAGTTTAAGGGCTTAGCTAACGGATGAAGCATATCAATGTATCCTCTGGCCACTTCACCTCCTGTCAGCAAGTGAACAGTAGAATTTTTGGGCTGTGGCATTTAGGCCAAACAGCAGATGTGGAACATCCTCCTGTGCTTTCACATGTTCATAAACCAGGGAGATCAATCTTTACAGTTTACAGTAAAGGAAGAAGGGTGATAGCAAATAAAATAGGTGAAAGCCACTTCTACAAACCCTTCTCGCTTCTTATATTCCTTGTGGTCTATCTGGCATCTTGGGCTGTTCCTGTGTGATGTAATTTGCTCCTTGGGAAAGACCCACTAAAACAATGAAGAGGAGATTAAATTCTGCACATGTACACAACATTGCCAGGCTTTGTCTGCTCTGTGTGATGTTGAAGTGCTATGGCAGTGCTGCGATTCTGCAACATCACATGGGCTGCTTGTGAATATGAACCTTTGCAATCCCTTGGAAGCTGCATGTGCGTGCTACTGCAGATGAGGATTCAGAGAGCATCTGAACTTCTGTGTGTATGTTTTTGGACATGAGAGCATTTCACCTCCTGGTAGTTATTCAGGTAGCACATACTCACTGCCTAGGGCTTGTCATGCCTTCTCTGCTAGCTTTCCCAGGCAAGGATTGCTTTCAGCTTAGAGTTCAGAGACAAAGCTCCTACCTTGTGTGAGTCTGGTTTGCAAAACACTGTATGTATGTCGGTGTCTGACACCCACTTCAGTTGCTTGCTTCTACTGCCAGGCCTCTCCTTAAAACCACCACTCTCCTAGCAGCTGAACCCTCTTATGGCTGTTCCTGTGGTTGCCTGTAGTGTGAGCTCCTGCTGTGGCTAGAGGAAATGTAGGTAGCTGCATTTCACTGCTGCACTGCTTGCTCACTGAAGGCTACTCATTCAGTGGCTAACCTCAACAGGATATACTGCTAGTGTCTGTGATGTGCTCAGCTCTCCACCACAGACCAATTATAAATAAACAGTAGGCTTGGATGTTAAAATGGTAAAATGACCTGCAAGCCTTTGTTCCCAGAATACATTACATCCCACAAAGTGCTGTGATTGTAGCCGAATAACTCTGGCAGACAGGGAAGTGTAAAACAGACTGGCCAAAATGCAACAACCCTAATTAGTATGTGTCACTCTGACACCACTCTCCTGAGCATGTGGAGTGGAACTGATCAGAGTCCTGTGCTGCTGAGGGATGAAAATGCCAAGACAAAATTGGCAACAACTTCTTGGCTGCATTAAGATAAACTCTTCCCCTTTTGGCTAGGCTGCAAGGGGTGTTGAGGAAGGAAAGTAGGTATTGCCTGTGATGTAAAGGTGGGAGCTGAAGCTGGTAGAAAGTCAAGAACAAAGCCTATCTGGTGTGTTTCTTTTCTTCTCAGGATTTGACTGGAGTCTTCACTTTAAGTGGGAGCAGATTCCAATAGAGCAGAAGATGTCCAGGACAGACCCAACTCAGTCTATAAGGTAGCTATCTCTGATGGACTGCGTGCAGACCTTCAAATGCCTTTACTGAGCCTTTGCCTTTATGGCAGGGAGTGCAAAGGGTTGTTTTGCTGGGGACAACATTTCATTGTTTATACTTGATAAAGGCAAACTTTTCACGTTATTTCTAAAGAAATCTTGTAATGCAGCAATACCATAATTCTTCGAGTTTTGCTTCCTGAATACTATGTGAATAGCAACTATGTAGTTTCACTGGCTTGTAGCTGTGCTATCCCAACAAGCCACCTCTTCCTATTCTGTATTTGTTTCATGGTTTCCCGCAACACTCTGAATGCCTCCAGAAATCATTTTTAATTACCTCTGTCTTCTAGGTGAGGAACTAAGGAAAGAAGCAGCTAAACAAACACCTCAGGAAATGTAAAGCAGAGCTAGGAGCTTAATCTTGCCTATTAATTTGAGCACAGAATTAACCTTCTATCCTAAATAAGTGTGTCTGCACAAAAACAGATTGTGTTGGCTGCAGCGGTTGTTGCCAGCCTTGCTGCTGTGTGTGTGGTTCTGAGGCATGTAGAGCATGAAAAAATCCTGGTATAAAAAGTCACAGTACTCAGCTCCCTGTTTGTAACAGAAGTGCCATTTTATTCCTTTATGTAATTTGTAAGTCTGTGTTTTGCACTCAAGAAGTATCCAGCACTACATACAGCAAAACCACTCACACCATGTCTAGTTGGTGAACACAGCCATCAGACAATGCCTCCGTCATTCCCACACACTGTATGTATTTGTATAAATGCAAAAGACACAGCATTATTTGTGCAGTGCTTGCAGTACAGTCTAATAAAGGATGGGGAAGGATCTCGTGAGGGGCGTCTCAGCAAAGTAGGAACGTGATCAGCTGACTTCTGTTTTCCTGTTTTGAATGAGAGAGATGGTTAGTCAGGCCTGCACAAAATGTCCCCCTTCTAAAATGAAGATGGCAGTGATGGTGGTGCTGCACGCACATGAGTATGTGAGCTTATTTAATACGGGCTTGTGCTTTCTTTTCCAGAACCCCTGTCATAGCAGGAGGCATCTTTGTGATTAACAAATCCTGGTTTAACCACCTGGGAAAATATGATACTCAAATGGACATCTGGGGAGGAGAAAATTTTGGTAAGTTTAGAGTGTCTGGGGAATGACACACTAATGCAGACCATTTCCCAGTATTCGTCAGTTAGCAGAGCTCTTCTTCCAAGATCTGCATGTTGATAGAAGGTTACAGACATTGTCAGGCTATCAGCACTTGGGTCAGAATTTTATGTCAGTTTTGCACAAGGTAAACAGAGTCCCTTTGATATCAGGGCTATCGCTGTCTTATATGCGTATGCAGTATTGTATGAGTGCTTTTACAGTACAAACAAGAATAGTAATAAAAAGAACCTCTCTCCTAATGCTTAAATTGTTGCTTATTTTTGGAGAATATTCCTGCAGAGTCAGCCTCTGAGCTTCACCTGTGTAAAAGCTGAAAATCCCCAGAACAGTGAAAGAATTTAGGCTTTTGTCTGCTGCTGCTCATCAGGGAGCCTAGCACTGTTTTTTGGTGCGTATGTCCATAGCTGATGCTAAGGCAGAGCTCTCTGCAGTAAGTGGCAGTTACCTGCACACCCACAACTCTTCTTGTACATAGAGGTGATGAAAACCTTCGCTGAACTGCTTCATTCTCCTTCAAACTGCTCTCATAAAGCCTGGCAATGGTTGGGCCAGGCTGTGTGGGATTGGGCTGAGCATGCAGGGCTTGCCAGTTTTGCCTTGTGCAGTTTCCATTAAGTTAGTTGCCCCTCATCACTTGGCTGTTATCCTGCACCTTGACTCTTTTACAAAAGCAAGGCTCAGTGCACAGTGTGTATAATGGGGTACAATGGGGTCTGTCCCTGAGATGTGTTGCTACAATGACAGTGTGCTGATGGCAATGGGAAAATATTTTACTTTGTTTTTTCCCCGAAGCTAGTATTTGTTCAGCTCTTCAGCATAATATGAGGCAGTAATTCCATCAGTGGCTTCTACATTCAGCTTGTTTCTCTTATGCAGCAGATGAGCAGAAACCAACAATTTTACAACAGAAAGTTTGTTTTCCTTGAAAAGGTATTTAGTGCTCAATTTCTACTCTGAAAGAAATGTTTTCCGTACTTAATGGAAATCTAGTTTTTGTGATGAAGGAAAAGTGTTGATCATGTTCTGAAACACTTTTAACTACGCATTACAATTTTGAGTGGAAAGCAATTGTTTAGATAAGGTCACCTTTTGATGGGTGAGCTGAGAGAGTAGCTCTGACTAGTCTGGGTGGGTGAGAATGGCCACAAAGGCCATTTTCAATAAACTTTTCCTTGGAAACTTTTTTCCTGCAAGGAAACAATGTAAGAGAAGGTTTTAAAGGGCACAAAGCTGGAGAAGCAGGTACATAGGAACGGAAGTGGTTATCAGCTGTCAAAGTATTCTTCCAGCTGGATGTGAGTAGGTAAGAACTTTTTTCAAGTGGGGAAAAGGCACAGCAATAAAATCATTTAAAGCATATATGGGCAAGGTCGGGAGCTGGAAAATACATAGCAAAAAAATCTCATATTTTTCATTAGAAAAACAGATAAAGTCCTTACTACGTTATGCTTGATCTCCATTTTCTATTTTGTGCCAAAAATCTGCATCCTTTCTCGCCGCTGTTAAAGAATTGCCATTTGCAAACTCAGTCATGCAAAGTCTGTCTGTGTGCCTAAGATATGAGTATGAGGATTCTTCTTCGGAAATGGACATTGCTTTAAATAAAACATGCTAGCTTGAGAATTTGTTTTTGTTACAGGCCAGAATGAATCAGAACCTCATTTGAGGAGGGCAACTGCCACCTGGACATAATACCAGATAGAAACTTATGTCTTGTGTTTTTGCTGTTGTTGTTTTAGTTGTTCTTTTTTGTTTGTTTGTTTTTGAGTCCTTCCTCTCTTCAAAGCTGTAGGAAATATTGAGGGAGAAACTGCAACTAATAAGAAATGACACAAACTACAGACAAATGCTTAGAAGTTGGATTAAATACACCATCTCTTCCTCCCCTTCAAAAAAATCCCACAACCATCCAATCACCAAACAGCCAGACAAGTAAACTACCATGCTGTTTAAACAACCTTTCCCAGGAACTGTAGAGGAAAGCCAAGGAGAAAGATGAAGGGTGGGATGATGTTAGTGTGTGTGCGTGCTTTGAAACAGCCATTAAGTCTGGATGCACTGTTTCTTTTTTAATTTCTAAACGTCAGAGCCATAATTTGGGCAGGGAGACCACAAGTGAGTAAAACTTTTGAAGTGATCAGTCTATACATTCTGAGTCTCTTATGGCAGACACTTCATCTGAAATCCCAACCAATTACTCAGTTAATTTTCTTGGGGAGAGGACTTGCTTCCTATGCATTCATCTTGTTCTCTCCTTTCTCCTTTGTCTCCTAAACTCCTTCTCTTCTTCACATGATTTGCTTCATCTAGCAAATTCTTCATTCGTTTTTCTTCTACCCATTTTCAGGGTGAGTGAGTTGCAGAAGCTCAGAGCAGCGTGGGTGTGGAGGTGATCTTGATTTGTTACCGAATGCTGTCCTGAAAGCCTGACCACAGCTGCTAAGATCTGGTCAAATGAAAAGGCGTCTCACTGAAATGCTCAGAGGCCCAAACAGTGGAGTGGTATTGGAGAAGGCCAGGGCTGGAGTTGCCTCTGTTTTAACAAAGGGCAGGGGGATTTTTCCTCTCTTACCATGGCATCACTTTATCTGGTTTTACTTTGTAGTAAATATACCTAGAGCAGAGGGACAAGGATTTCAGGCACACTGCTGAGGTTACTCTTTTTGGAAATGCTGATGGACTGACTTCAACTCTATGACTCTCGGGTCTCTTCCAGAGCTCTCTTTCCGAGTGTGGATGTGTGGTGGCAGCTTGGAGATTGTTCCCTGCAGTCGTGTGGGACATGTGTTCAGGAAGCGCCATCCCTATGACTTCCCTGAAGGCAATGCACTAACTTACATCAAGTAGGTGGTAACAGCCAGGTCACCTTGATGTTGGGCATCTCTAAATCAGCCTGAATTCTTTATTGTCTTTCTCCCTGCTGACAGAGAACAACTTGTGGCTGAGCATCTGTTCTCAAGGGGAAGATGAGTTGCTGTTGGTCAATGCACAATGTTCCCTTCTCTGTTCCCTGTTGTTTGTGTTACTGCATCTTGCTTTTCCTCTCTCTGCAATGGTGGAGGGGAGCAGTGCCCCAGGGAGAGACCCTGGCCACCTCCCAATGACACATGCCTGGGTATCAGCAGTCCTTAGATGTCTCTGAGCTGCTTTCAAGTCCAGAGATCCTACTGAGCTGTGTGTGTGCTGAGATGAGCCCTGTGGACAACTCGCAGGACAGAGGGGAAGAGAAAAATGATGAGACCAGTGAAGTACTGGAGCAGAGTCCCAGAGAGGTGATAAAATCTCCGTTCTTGGAAATTTCAGAACTCAGGCAAGGTTTTGAGCAGTGTTGCCTAGCTGAAGTTAGTCCTGCTTTCTGCAGGAGGATTGGGTCAGATCGTAACTAGAGTTGCTTTCCAAGCTGAGTTATTCCATGGTAACGTTCTAGTGTGGAGAAAGGGAGCAGAATGGTGGTGACCAGTCAGACCAGTTACTTCTGCAGTGGGAGTGTATGTGAAAGAAATCATGGTAAACTCTGTTTTGTTGTGTTTTGTGTTTTTTTTTTTAAATTTATTTTTATATTCTGAACTGTAGTATCCCCACAAGGCTTTGTAGAGTTAACACATTCAGTCTAAATCTGACTGTGGTGCCTGCTTTATTTCATGTCTAGTGCTATTCCCAACTCCCCCCTGGCAGACAGGCCCTGGGTCTGCCCACATAGCACTGTTTGATAGGAGGGCAGGTTCTCCAGCAGTACTCAGCAAAGCATCCCCTTGTTCCCATGTAGGAACACTAAGCGCACAGCGGAGGTGTGGATGGATGAGTACAAGCAGTATTACTACGAAGCCCGGCCATCAGCCATTGGCAAGTCATATGGAAGGTAAGCTGCTCCCAAACCTCACTAGGAGGACTCTAGTAAGCCACTTCTTAGCAAGAAATAGTTGTTGGATCTTCTCTGGTTCTGAACGTGGTAAAGAGAAACAGAGATGCTCTGAATTGCTGACTTGCCAGGAGTGTTACAGCTCGAGTGTCTGACTGGCATGTTTTCTTCTAATTCACTTCATTTTTCCTCCATTAGTCTTCTGTAAATCATTTGTTAGGGGAAGGCCATAGTGAGCTGTAATGAAATTAAGATGCCAGGCTTTTTAAGGGGATAAGAATATTTTCTAATACAGTATGCATATGCTCTGGAAATGTGAGCTGTGCAGTTACTAGAGCTTGATGTACATGCAGAATCCAGGGCATGGCAGAGCTAGCTGGCACTCATTGCTACCTGGTGTGCTCCCCTCTTAGCTGATGAGTGAATGAGGTGGTTTGCTCATTTTGTAAGGTTGGACAGAGCATGGCCAATGGTGAGACATCTTGTGTTGAAACACAATCTGGTCTCTAGCACCTTCTGAGCCCGCTTCTGTGAAGAACTGTTTCTTGCAGCATCCTAGATGAAGCTATCTGCAGGCCACATAAGTCTCGCTATTTTGGGCTTTTTAGAGTTGTGATCGAAAAATCAATGGGCACCAAAAGTTGGGATGAGAGGAGAGCTGGTTCTCTGTATCAAATGCCTGTGATTTCCGAGTGAATGTTAAAAACATCCTGGGAGGCACATGTATCTGTGTTGTATCCCCTGTGAACAAGTGACTGTTGTATCAGCCTTGTCAAATGTGATGGTGCTTCAGATGTGTAACTACATGCATTGGATAATGATGCATCTACTACTTATGTGGTGACAAGCAGGTTTGGTCTGGCCCATACAGGCTTATCATTGTACATCCTGATATTGCCATGACAATAGCTTTATCTACCTAATTTTTCTGTAAGATCTCCATAAATACGCCTGAGATATGGATGGCCTCTGTGGGCTGAGGATGTCAAGGAACGTGGGTGCATCTGAAAGTCCTTTCCAAGACACACTTGTAGCAGTATAGCTTGAAGAGGACAGTCCCTAATTTCACTAGTCAGTGGGACTGCTCAAGCAGAGTTCTTCAGCCATCCAAAGCCAAGGATGTCAGAGTTGGAAGGGCTGCTACAGCAGGCAGTTACAGGGCACTGAGTTAATTTCCTCTTACCTTCTTTCTCAAAACTGCCTAAGAAGAAATCGCTTTAGTTTTTAGGTTTGCAGTCCAACCTGAGACTACAGCTGCTGCCATGTCCCCTTAATTCTGGCAGCCACAAGGATGAGCCATTTGTGTATACCTTAAGGTAAATGCTTTCTAGGCCTTTCTAGGAGCTGATGGTTGTGTAAGTTTCATTGAATGCTTCTACAGAGGCACCCAGAGGCTGAAATGCTTTCTCAGTCTTACAGTGCCTTTACATGCACTGTGTTATTTTAACATTATAGAACCTGGACCCCAGCATCTTTCTGAACCAAAGGAAGTGCAAGAATTGCTCTCCAAAGGCATTTGTTTCTTTCTTTTCAATATTCCTCTCTTGCCTGTCTATTCTTCACCTCAGGTCACTGCTAGTGCTCTAAACCCAGTAACAACTAGGTGGGAGAATGAGCAAAGGTGGAAAACTGTACAGTCCCCCTCAGACTTCTTGACTGCTCTCAATCATCCTCCTTCCTCCTGGTCACTATGTGTGTCTGTGTTTTCAGTATTGCAGACCGAGTGGAGCAGCGCCGCAAACTGAACTGTAAATCCTTCCAGTGGTATCTGGAGAAAGTCTATCCTGAGCTGAAGTGAGTTTGATCTCAGTTTCCAAAATTCCTGAAGGAATTGGGAAGTGGTTTGCAACAAGAAACTGAGCCATGGAGCAGCAGGCAAAAAAAAAAAAAAAAAGTGACTTGGAAAAAGGCTTGGAAAAGATCTTTGTTCTCCTGTGTGGTTAGAGGGGGCTGTGCTTCAGATGGGGACCAGTTATGCTCTTCTAAGTATGTAAGTGCTTTGTACTTCTTTGTTTATTAAGTGCCTTAAAACAGTTATTCTACTTCAAGGGTTCCTGAGAAAGACTTGATTCCAGGAATAATTAGACAAGGAGGAAACTGTCTGGAGTCTTGGGCTCAGGATACCACAGGGAATACGTTGGCTGGCATCGGAAACTGTAAAGGGACAGTGAACAATCCACCTGTTACTCAGGTAAGATGGGCTTCAGCTTGGTGCTTTCCTCCTTCCTCTGCCCCCTTTATGTATTGCCAGTGATTGAAAAGGTATCTCTGGCCTTTTTGGATTTGTACGGAGATGAATAAAGGAAGAATTTGGCCCTATTAGTGGTTTTAGTAGTAAACAGGAAAAGAAGCTGAGGCCATCTCAGAGCTCTGCTGTCTCAACAGACACAACAGTTAGGCACTGGGTAGGAAGGATTTTGTCACTCAGTCAGAGGCAACAGGTAACACTTGAACGTTCAGAGGCCTGACTAGTCTGTGCAGTAAACTCATAGCCAGAGTTTGAATTGCATGGTGATCACTACTTAGACCTCTACCTCTACTCATGGCTTGGATATGCTCTGCTTCATCTCCTGCCCTTGGGGCTATGACTTTCCTATGAGAACCAGTCCTGGGGTGTACTTGGCTGGTACCCAGGCATGCAGGCTAAGAGATTTCTCCAGGGTCATAAACGTTTCTTAGTCCACCACTTCAGCTGTAGCTGCAGATGGTTTGAACTGTGTGTTTTGCAGATGTTTCAGTGTAATGCCTTAGCAGAATTTAAATAGACAAGACCTCAGCTGCAGTAATTTGGTGCAGCTACTTTAACAATGGAGCTGTGATGGTTCATATCAGCTGAGGATTTATGCTCAGTCTCTTCTTGTGGTAGTCTAAGCAGCAGAGAAGCAGCTTGAGAAAGATAAGTGTCACAGCAGGATATTTTATGCCAGAAAATACATATTCACATCTGTTAATTGTTGGAAACCGGTTTTCAGCCAGAGTTCAACATGCCATTTAATCTTACTCATTGTTCCATGTCATTACTGTTTAAAATCTCCAAAATGTACTGCGTTTCTGTTTCCTGTTTGGGGAATATATAATGAGAATATTTGATTGGGTCAAGCATCCTTCAAGTGAGAGAAGGGAAAAATGAAGTCTGAGCTTTATATGTGCTGGTGATATTTGTTAGCCCATGGATGTTGTTGCATGCATTTTTCTTCATTTGGTAATATATAAATCTCAGTTACTCATTATAGAACGTTTGTTATGTAAAATATGCAGAAGCAGTTGCACATCATGTAAATCATGAGGCTGGTGGCCTCCATGCTATATAGGCCTGACTCTGTAAAGCTGCAGAGCATGGAGTCGCAAGGGATCCAAGGTTAATCAAGCAGCTCAGAAGGTTAGAGAAGCCAGCTGTAGGTTTTGAAATAGTCATGGTGTGTCAAGACAGAGCATAAACTTCTGATCAGTCTTCCCAGGGAGCCTTTGATAAGTGTTGAAGAAAATATTCAGATTCTTGTACTATCTCACAGGAGAAAAAAGGAAGAAAAAAAAACAAAAAAACCACACAAAAAACTTGTCTCATTTTGTCACCATTGTGATCATAATGGAACCTTTCTTTTCCTCTTTCTTTCGCTGAAGGAGTGGGTATTCAGTGACCCTCTAATTAGACAGCAGGACAAGTGTCTTTCTATTACCTCCTTTTCTACTGGCTCTCAAATCATACTGGAAGCCTGCAATCAAAAAGATGGCAGACAGGTAACTGTGCACCTTTGTTAATCTCTTCGTTGTCTCATACCAGTGTTCCTACAGCAGTGCAAACCCAGTACTACCAAAGTGTGTCAAAGTCTCTGCTGTCTCTGCATCTCCCTCTCTGGTGTGCTCCATATGAATGGATGTATGATGTATGAACGGATGTATGGATGTATACTCCATGCGAGCATCCAGCCCAGTGGCATCCACCTCACTTTGTGGATACGTGCACATACAGGCAGGTCAATGCATGGGTGAAGCACAGCATCAGGGTGGGGTAGATAAGCAGTAAATACTTTGAGAGACCTGAGAAAAGAGTATCACGATAGCAGTGCGTGCTATCATTTGTTTGCTTGCTTACCAGAATAGAATAGTTCAGCTGAAAATGCCTTTCAAAGATCATCTGGTCCAACTGCCCAGCTACTTCAGGGATAATCAAAAGTTAAAGCATATTAATGAGGGCATTATCCATCTAGAAGTGAGAGAACTGTGTTCTTCGTGCTTTCTTTGGATGTGTGAACAGGCATGTAAAACTGAGTTTGTACAATTCATTTGAGAAATATCAACTGGCATAAAACAGTATATGTTTTGGAAAATTACACAGCAGCACTGTTGGCTTTGGAATGTTCCCAACAAAACACAGATCTCTGATTTGTCAGGACACCTAATGCACTTTGCCTTGCAATACAAGGTAAGAGACTGTCTGAGATGGGCATGTTGCTCTCAAATGTATGTGATATGCCTTTTTTATCAGGACTGGTCAAAATACAGTGTGTGACAACAGCACTGGTGGACAGTGAATGGACAGGGCTTGCTTCATCCCTAGTTTTATGCTTCCCTCTATAGTGAGAGAGCAAATTCTCCATCATATAAGGCTATTCTAGCTCTGTGCTTTCCAACACGTCTATTGTTTTGGTAGCCCAAAGATAAAAAAATGGCTCAGCTTACTACTAGTCTACAGCAGCGACTCTTTTTGTCAGTATTTTTTTAATGCTGTATGTATTTCTGATTTTAGTTCCTCCTGAAAGTAGGCACTGAAATCTGGTCTTGCTCATGTGTGGAAAGCCTGTGTAGACTTTCCCCTGGAGGTCTGGTTAATATAGAAAGGTCTTGAAGAGTTGTCACCGTGAATATAATGGGTAGACACTTAGTTTGGATTAGCCTTGCAAGGATATCCTAGGTGGGCTCTGCTTGCCTGCTCCTTTTTCCTTTTTTCTTGTTGATAACCACTCACCCTCTTGCTATATAATTAGGTCACTTAGCTTCCTCTTAGATGCCTTGCAGCATTTTCCTCCCTAGCAGCAAAGAGGACTCTAGCAGCTGCCAAAATCAACTCTTTCCCTCCTTCTGTGTCATGGAAGGACAAGGGCCCCCTGGAGGGGTGTGGAGTGCAGGCTCTATTAGCCAGAAGAGAGATTAATCCACATTTACACATCAGGTTCATTCTGCTGCTGGAGTGTCGGATTTATTGATCCTTGATGTGGTGATTATATACAGGCTCATTATAGAGACACGCAGGATGTGATCTGTTGTTTTCCATTACCTTATGTGAACAAACTGCACTTAAATCGAGGACTTGACCTGGCAGATGATCTAGCCAACTGACTGTAAGCAAAGGGTTTTGTTTAAGCATTTCAAACAATTAGAGACCGATTTGATTCACAGCTGCCATTTCCAAATCCTGCTGTGGCTGTATGGATGAGGTGGGGATGAAGTGGAAGAACAGCATGTGAATTCTTAATCTAATTAGAGTTAACATGCTCTGAAATTTTGGGGTTGCTTGGAAGTCAGAAAATCCCATTTCAGATTTTTACTTAGAAAACCAGATCCGCACATAGTGCTCAAGATTGTCACATTCTTGGGAAATGTTGCCATGGTATTTTCCTTCCATAAATACGACAGTAATAGTAGTTAATATTGGATTTTAGTTAGTTAAAGTCAGTCATCTTTGCAAACTGACCCATTCTCTCTCCTCTGCCTCGCTTCTAGGAGGACCACATGCATCTACTGCAATGCTTTCTGCTCATTTTGGGAACTGACTTTCTTTGCCAATTCCCATTTAGAGTGGGAGGTGAAACTAATAGCTCTTACAGGGGTCATCTGGGTTAGCAAGGCAGGGTTCTGGTACAAAGAAACAAGACAGAGAGAGAGTTTTTTTTTCCTCCTGAGCTGGCAACTTGCAGAACCCTGCCTACCATGTCACCCAAGCCCAGCTTGCAGTATTTACGAAGTTCAATTTCAGGATGACATCAACTGCTATGAAACCTTAAAGCGCTAAATGGAACAGCAAAGCTGGGGGAACCAAATTCCCCTAGTTTACAGCTTGGCAGGCTCCCAATGGGTGTGAGGTGTTAGTGATGGGGCATAGCAGTCTTTTCAAACTACGCATAGGTGTAGCCATTCCTCAGTTCAAGCGAGCTTCTCAGAACATCATAGAGGCTGACTAGGGATCAAGGAAGGGAGTTGAGCTACCTCAGAGAAGTGGAAGTGGCAAGCGAGAACCCTGAGTGGAAGAGAGTGAGCACATGTGTTATCCCAGGAGAGGATGGCAGCATGATGAAACTCAGGTTTGATCATCTCTGTTATCACTGTCATCAAAGGTCTTTGGTGGAAGGCATTTGGGCTTTCCTGGATTTAGATGTCATGTTTATGGCAGAGTCACTCAAAAGCCAAGATCAAAAAAGCCTACAAAATGTAGGACGAGTGATGGCTTTGTTTGTTGCTGTCACCATAGCAGGTTGTTCAGATCTTTACAACAGCACCATAGAGTTCCTAATGCTGCTTTCTGCTTTCAGATGTACTGAATCTGTGCCCATGCTTACACAGCTGTTGTGCATAAAGCCTGTCCACAGGGAAGAGAATTTTGTTGTTTTTTCTTGAGCGCTAACAACAATCTCATGTCCATCTGACATATATAAATACTCTTGCAGAGGCTTTAAAGTATTATGAACTGTATTTGTGGAGTATTACCTCGAAATAACTCTAGAGTCTTGCAGACAGAATGATGCTATAGACAATGCTCCAAATGTAGATGGTATTTTATTCTGTTAGGCTCCTTCCTTGGGCTAAAAGGAACCAGCAACAAAACCTATTAGCGCCATGATCCTGTTGATCACTCAACAGCAGCAGCCAGCTCTGCTAGCACAAGACAAGCCAAGAGCTGTTGTGCATAATCAGAACTAGATTTCAAAGCAGATGGATGTAATCCATAATGTTATTTGGAGAGCAGCATTTTTTACTTGAATGCACAGTAAATTATTGCCTTTAGCTTTTGCTTTGGCTCTGACTGATGGTGGGAGTGGTATTTTAATTTGTGTTATAGTGAGGACAAATAGAAGGCAAAGTGAAAGTCAGACACTAAAACAACAGAATAAAAATGAGAAACATTGGCACAGTATTTCCCAACAGAACAAGAAACGTTCTGAGAAATCTTGTTAAACAGCCACATTTCATGAAAATGTGCTGAAGTAAGTGAACCCTGCCTGAAAATAAGGACATTTGTTTTTCTGGTGAGACACCCAGTATATGAAATGCTGTGTGCCTTTCGATGTGATTGAGAATTTTTTCCCACCTTGCTTCTCAGTGTCTCCTATTACCTGGGTGCAAACAAATACAGCTTCATACAGACTTTCAGGGAAGAGGAGTGAAGACCCGTCTGTTCTGGAAGCAACTTACTCGGCAACTTCATGATAATAAGCAGATAAAACGTTCCTTGCAATATGCCATAGCTTGAAAGCAATTTTTAGGAAACAAGATTTTCTCTCAGTTATGCAAATTTAAGAGCTCAGAGTTGGAGATAGTACCTCCTGGATGCTGGTGTGAGCTTTTCTATCGGACTCTCTCTGCTCTCTTGTTTAAAAATTAGTTCGTTGTCTTCAACACCAGCTTCACATTGCCCATGGCTCTGCAAATACATTCAGTTATCAGTTCTCCCTACGTGTCTGTCTGAAGCATCTCTGTCCTAATCAGCAACATCTGCTCTTTCCAGCTGTGTTTCCTGAGCTTGGCCAACTCCGTTACATTTTCAGGGTTACATGGCAGTTGTCAGGAATTTGAAATAAATCTTGGACTGATTGGATTGCTGTGGGTTAAAAACCCTTTTGATTATCCTGAAAAATTACAATACTGTTAACACTTTCATCCCTATATATTAGGCTGCATTTCACCAACTGGTAGATGAGAAATTACTGTTTCTGGCTTTTCTCTTAGTGACTGCACGCTGAATTCTTCTATCCAACAGCCTCAAGGAACTTTACATGGAGTGAGGAGAGCGGAGAGAGAGGCAATATTTCAATCAAAATATTGTTTCTTTTTTTCCATCTCCACTCCAAACCTGCTGTAACCAGTAAACTGTATTAGCTCCATGTGCAATGTGGGAGACTGAGAAAGATTTTTCAAGCCAAAACTTTTCCTAGCTCTTCCAAGATCTTCCCTTGTTCCAAGCACAGGCCAGTCAAAGCCATCTGTGGATAAGAGAGGAGAAGACTCTCAGTAAAGTTTGGCTGTGTATACAGGAATTAACTATTGTTTATACTTTTTTCTATTTTCCCTAAAGATGGAGACCATCACTGCAATTTATAAGCTAGCTGTCCAGGCACTGATTGTGGTCATTGCAGAAAACTGAGCCTTCCCTGAAGGTGTTTGCATTTTGGGCCTCTCCTTAAGTATAAGATCAGCTGACTAATTTAGACTTTGGTGCCCAGCTCTAAGGGGACTGAAGGTGAGAGACAAACATGTAATCTCCTGTTTCCATCCATTCCTACTGCCTGTCTTCCTTAAGAGTGTGAGATGGAAATATGTCCCTCTACGGTCAGCTCCTGGGCTGTTGCTGGCAATTCTATGGCAATCATGCAGCGAGCTCATATGAAAGGCTCAGGTGCAATCAAGGGAGCTTATTGGGTTTGTCATGGAGAGCAGCAGAGCAGTTTCTGAGCAGGATGGGCAGCTGTCCATCATTTTGAAAATATCACCTCTGAGAAATGAAGGAGCCCTATTTTAGCTTTGACTGTCAGTATGCTTTATAATAGCTTCATGCATGGCACCTGCCAGAGCCTGGATGAGGTTCACATTTAATTCTCTCACCTTCTCAGTGTTTGTCCCCTCTTCCCTATCCTTACCACCCTCTGTGGAAACAGAGGGACCTAAAGTGACTGGAACTGTACTGCTCACTGGAAGCTGATTGATTTGGTATAGTTCATTAGTAGCAGAAATTGTGCTCTGTTGAGTGTTTGCTGGTGTCTTGCTGTGTCTGTGGCTGTAGACTCTTTCTGCAGGCAGCACGGAGGTTGTCTGCTCAGCATGGAGAGACCACACAACAGCAGGTCTCTGATCTGGAGCAATAATGTGTGAGTCTCCCACAGCTGCCAGTTTTCTCCTGAGCAGTTGGGGAAAAAAAGAAGAAAAAAAGCATCTCTTGAACAACTACAGAGGTAGGGATGAGGATGGAGGGCGAGGAAGAGCTTCCCTCAGCACACTAGGTATGCTTTGAAGCAGAGAGTTGGAGAAGGGCAAAAGACTCTTTACACAAGTATCTGTGACCCTGAGAAATGGTGATAGGCAGGGGGGCATTGCACAGAGATAACACCCGCTAGGCAGCATGTTGCTTTATGGTATTAACTCTTCCTCAGCTCCTTGCAAGGAAACTTCTTCCAGATGAGAGCCAGATGGCTGTGAGATCTGTGTAGACACTGGGATGCAGCAGCTGGTGAGCGTATTGGAGGCTCCTCTGTAAGCACAGACTGTTTTGGGTCTTCCTTTGCATCACCATTACCTTTCTCTGTATACCTGTTAAAATCTTCTTCTTCCTGCTGTACAAACAATTCTCCTTCAATAGTATCCCATCGTTCAGGGCTAGCAGCCATGCCAAAGTGATCTTCCCCCTATTATTTAATCTTGAAGAAGGAATATGAGATACAAAAGTGATTTTACTCCAGGATTTGCAGCTGCCCTGCTCTCCAAGAAGCTGGACCAGAATGCAGATCTGAAGGAAAGCTGACAGCAATATGTGAATGTACCTGGTTGTCTTAAAACACACAGCACATGGCAATCTCTATGGCAAGCACATGGCTTGCTGTGTTACTTACCCAGGAATCAAAATGTCAGCAGGTTTTGACATTGTCTGGTTATCACAGGATTTTTTTTACTCTTTTTGGGTGGCATTTCTACAGCAGCCTTCAGGCCCATCAATGCTGCCAAGGTGTTTCTTTTCCCTCATCAGTCACAGGAATTAGCCACAACATCCTCCCAGTACCCCTCACCTGTTGTCTGATTGAGTCGCTTGCGACAGAGTGATGGGAAAAATACCAGGAGCCTGTAGCACTCAATCTAATAACCTGCTGGTCCTAGCTGTGCTCCATGGGAGGGAAATGGCACAGCCTCACCTGGGGGCTCCTAAGTCCGCAGACTCATTTCTTTTTTTCTTTTTTTTTCCCTCTATGCTATCACCTTCAATGGTCCTGATTCTTCCAGCAGAGATGGAGGGTACTGCCTTTTCCCAGCAGAATTTGCAGTGCAAGGTTAGGAGATATGTTTTGTTTCCTGGAAAGCAGCAAAAACAAAGTAGGTCTTCAAGAAAGAGTTGTGCAGGGAGCTTTGTGAAAATGCTCTGATAGGAGCAGGCTCAGAGAACAGCGCTGCAGAAAGTGAAGTGAGGTGTGCTGAGCAGCTGTTGAATGGGCACTTAGAAACAGAAATGTTTGTAGGGGAGAGAAGATTAAGAACAATGAGCTGATGAGAATGCAGGAGGTATGATGAGTTTTCAGTATATTTCTGATAAAAATCTTGGATTTGATGAAAGAAGAGATACAATCTAGACAAACAGCAAGTAGTGTGATCTTTGCATTTGTGCATTGGAAAGAAACCGAAGGAGGGTTTCAAAGTGATCTCAGTGCCTAGAGGTGCAGGGCACAGAACAGTGGGGGAATTTATGAACATAACATACTTTTGGAAATGCCTTAAGTTGATTATTTTGTGTTGTCTGCCTTTTAGATGCTTCTGAACATCTGGTCCTATAGACCAGATGAACTCAAACTTGAGATATTATTAATACAAGAAAACAGTGCCTTGGAGATGCTGCCAATACCCAGATCTTCCAATTTCCCCACTTGTTGAGCTGTATTTGAGGTTTAAGCTCAGCATTTCTTTTTAAGCATGAAGGCACAGTTACCTAATTAAGTGGAAGTAATAGTGTACTTCTCTCCTCACAGAAGTGGAAGATGAAAGGCAGTTTCATTCAGCACTTTGTCAGCGGTCTCTGCCTGGAAAACCAGACTGGGAGAGTGGTGACCAACCCTTGCCAAGCAGACATACCTGGCCAACAGTGGGAGCTGCTGCAAGCAACATGATGGTAGCACAGAGATCTCCTTGTTTCTTTGTGCATGAGACTTTGGAAACAAAGAGGAATTTTTTTGTTTGTCTGACATTAAATGTTTTCATTATGCCCGTCAGCAAGCCACCATTTCAGCTGAGCACTTGGTGTTTTTGAGCTTTCAGAGAAGAAGCTATGGGTGAGTGCAGAATGAGGAGAGTTGTTGAAATCAGCCATCTGTCATTTTAAGATCTCCTTTGCAGCTGATGTCCAATACACCCAGAGAGGAGTGAGCACCTCTAATGCTCAAAGGGACCAGAACTGCCTTGCAGCTCTCCCCCTTTCCAGACCTTTCTCTGCATCCAGACTCCATGACTCTCTGTGCGACAGCTTGGACAATGCTTGTACAAACACGGGTAGCTCTTTGTCTTCCCTGGCATTTCACTTTAACATCATGCATCGTTCATGCATGTGTGCTGGTGTGCTGCAGTGAGGACTGGCCCAAAGAGGAGCCAGTGTGATAAGCAGAGGTGCAGGAAAGGAACTAGCAAGCCCTGAGAGAGGTTTGTAACACTTCTGCCGAGACCCACACCTTCCTCTACCATTAGCAGCTGCTCTTCAGCCAGATGGGCTGAGCTTGGGAAATCGGGCACAAGGCTGACCAACCAGATGGAAAAAGGCCAGCCTGTTTTAGCAGCATAACCAGGGATTCTGGAGGGCATTATTCCCTGCTGAATTCCTGCTTCCAGTTTTCTGTGGGTGGCAGACCAGCCCTGTCTCTCTGAGCCCAGCAGGACCTGGGTTTGGGGCACTGTGCTCCTGGGGAGCTGCCCCTTGATGGTCAGTGTGTACTGGTGTTCTGGGATATAAGGCAAGCCAGGGCTGTTCGCTGACTTATTTTTCTGCCTGCAGTACCTCACACCAAAGGCAATGTGTAGCCCTTGTGGGAATGGCCCAGTGTGATAAGACATCCAGTCCCTTCGTCCACTTGCTTTTCCCCCTCTATCTGAAAGAAGAGCTGAAAAGACCCAGAGCTGATCCACTTGCAAGGCCTGGCTTTCCTTCCAGGAGGTACCCTGTGGAGGTTGGTTGGTGAAGCTGAAACTGCCCCAGCACGAATACTGCCACAGTATAAGTCTGCCCTGTGAAGTGTCTCCTTTGTATGCTGTAAATACTGATGGCAGTGGTGTCTGTAGCTCACATCCCAGCCCTGTTCCCAGTTACCGCTCAACTGGGATGCCTATCAATGAAAAGAAAGGGGTACAAATAAATAAATCTCTGCTTTGGAGCTCAGTTTCGTAAGCCAACCTCCCCCCCTACCCCCCCAAAATCCTCCAAGGCTTATACAGGGGCCATCTTCGGGATATGTTTGTTTGTCTGTGTCCTTTCTAGTCAGGTATAGAAGAAGAGGAGGATCATTTGGGTTCTGAACAATGGCTGTGTTTGATCATGATTGTATCCCTTTCTAATTCTTTCTTGTAGTTTGGTATTATCCCAAACAGATGACAAAAGAACAGATACTGTTCTTCATACATATGTTTGCTTGTGCTCAGAAGTGCTTGTCTGAGAACTGGAGGAATTTTTTTTGTGTTCTGACTTGTTATTTTATTTAAAAAATGAAGTCAGTCAGGTGCCAGGAGCATTTTTTCTATTTCCACCTCCACTTTGACATCAGCTCACCATGTTGAACCAGTTAGCTGGCTGAATGACCTGCCTGCATGGGGAATGCTCAGGAGACAGTTCCTTTTGGCCCCGAGCTTGAAGCATGCTGCAGCTGCACTTGTGTGTGGGAGCAGTGGTACTGGCTGCAGAGACTTCTGTTTCGTTGTGGGCTTTTGGGCTGCAACTTTAGGAAGCAGGAAAGAAAGAAAGAAAAAACTTAGGAAAGAGAAAAGGCAGACAAACCTACTGTGAGAAGAGAAGCTATCCTACTAGCAACTACATTTTTAAACAAGAACTATGCTGCTTCCAGGAAATATCATTAGGCAGTAGGAGACACGAATGGCCAAGTTCTCAAACACCTGGCCTGAAAAGAATTGATGCAAAGACAGATGAAAAGCCATTGAACAGGTATCATATGTAAGCTCTGTGTACAGTGAAGTGCTAAATGATTAGTTATTTTCATCAAAATATATCCTCAGTGAACTATCTGAGCTTCCCTGCTCTCTAGTAGCTTATGGGTTGCAGCTAACAGTATGTTCACTTATCCACCAGGTACTGCTTCCTCCTTTCTTTGTCCCACTATATGTGTGCAGCTTTCTTGCAGTTCCTTCTTCATAACCAGACTGGGACCAAGACCCAGCTCCTCAGCAAACAATTCTACTGCTGCAGACCACATGAACTCTGCTTATGTACACCCTGCAAGCTCTGCGCCAGCCCTGGTTCAAAGGGCTCCGGTTAGATTGAGACAAAGGCATGCTGGTTGCTACCTTGACTCTGTGCTTGGCTCCAGTGCTAATTCAGGTTACCGATAGCTCCCAGGGCAGCAGTTCCTGGACCGGCTGTGTTGGTTTGCATTTCTCACGCTGCTCGCCAACTGGCCAAATGAGCTGGCATCTATGTTGGGCTGCAGGATGGACAGGAGAAGACTGGACATTGTTACTCAAGTGCTCTGGCCTGGAGAAGAACAGGGAAAAGCTGGGCAGATGCTAATACCGGTAACTCAAATTGTCCCCAAACTTTGGGGGTCCCAGAACCTCAAATGTTTTGAACATGTTATTTGAAGGTCACCCCTCCACTGCTGTACTCTGCTGGCAGCCAAGGCACAGCCCAAGGAGCATTCCTGTAGGCCTCTCCCATATCACCTTCGAGTCAATGGACTTTAGCAATTGCTGAGACATAGATGCATGACAAAAGTCTGCTTCTAAAGGTGACCAAATAAACTTTTCCTCATGATAAACAAAGGCCATCCAAACTCACTGCTGGCATGCTTTCTACTTCCCTAGGAGGTAAGGAAAAGAGGAGGAACGTCATTGTGCTTTTCCCCAAAAGGTCCAGCAACTTGAAATTACTCCAGTAGGGTTTTGGAAAGAAAACCAGCAGAGCCCTCAGGTTCTGCTTGGTGGTTTGTATTTCAGACACTCAGATCAGCAGCTGTTGCCCTTGTTTTTCTGTTTCTTTTAAATGGGCCCAAGATTGTGAAGACAGAGGTTTGCATTGATAATAAGAAAGCTGGTGCTGTTTCAGATCACTCAGCGTGACTTCATGTGCTATCATTCATGTGCCAATCATTGGTTTATTTAAGAGGAGCTGAAGCTGCTGTTGTACAGAAATCAATTCAGAAGGTTTATTTCCCCCCACTCAGTTGTAAGTTGCACTTTGCCGGATGTAATTTATGTGGAACCCAGATTTGTTTTCCCTTTTCTTTAAGAAAGCATGTTCCAGAATCTGTCTAATGCCTGGAATAAAACCCACTTTGAGACAAGTGTGTGTCAGCCTCTTCTTGCTCTCCTGGCTTCCTGTTGAAGAAAAGGCCCCTTTCTCATGCCTGGTCCCTGTCCCTCACCAGATTTATGTTCCCAGCCATGTCCCAGCCCTTTGCATGAAGGATGTTAATTCTTCCCTTACCCCCTTCCTGGAGCTTTCCATGCTATCAGCTTTCCTGCTCCTTATAAGCTTCCCAGAGATCTTTCTGATGCCTACAGCTCTAGGGGAGGGAGCAGCACTGCTTGCTGGTACAGTGCTGTTGGGCTCAGGTTCTGTGACTGCCAGTGGGCTGGTAAAACCTGCCCATACCTGAAACAAATTGGCAAAAACAGCCAACAGTGCCAATTTGGAGCCTCCTGATGAAAAAGTTTGTGTATCTCCCCCCCTGCAAGGGGCTTTGCTCCTTTCTTGTGACTTCTGAGCATTTTAGGCAGTAGCAAAGGAGTCTTGGAGAACTGTATAGATCTTTGCCTGTGCGTGGTTGGGGGTGCTGCCCCTTCTGCTTAGATCCCACTGGTGACTGAACAGTGATCAAAAGCAGGGAAGAGCCACGGGGTGCTGGAAATGGCACAAGTGGCACTGGGTGAGTATTCTCTGAGTCAGGAACATCCCATCCACATGGAAACAGCAGCTTCTGCGTGACATCTCGACAGAAATTCTGCTTAACAAATCCAACTCATTAAAACAAGTCCAACCTGATCTGTGTACTGCATAGTAGAAAAGGAAGAATGAGAGAAAAGATAACAAAATAATCCACTTGGGACAAAATTGTGTTTTAATAGGATTTTGGTGGAAACCAGCTGCTCTGGCTGCCATTTCCATGGAAACTGATAGAGCAGCGCTGCTCACTGCTGCCCACGGCTGGGCTGTGCTGGGCAGAGAGCTGCCCAGGGACACTTGGATTTGCAAGTGTGAACCAAATGCCATGGAGCTGCTGTCCTTAAGGGCCCCTCTGCACCCACAGAGTGCTGCAGCTGTAGAGACCCACTGGGGAGAACATGCACTGTGATGTGGCTAGCTCTGCAAGCACAGCAAAGGGTGAGGGTATGATGCGGATGCTTGGTATGGTTCTTCCACAGCTCCTCTTGAGGGTTCACTGCAGTGAGGCCCATCTTTTGGGGTTCTAATTCTCTAAAATGCTGTTGTGTGAGGTTTGCTGTGCGTATTTTTTTAGCTAGAGGCTGCAGGCAATAATGCTGTTGACAAGGACAACCAAATGATGTCAAAGTCCTTCTCATTATCCCGAGCTGAAGCATCAAGTCTGCTTTCTGTCTCTGCGAATGAAAGCAGTGCTCAAGGAGCCCCACTTAGCACTGGAGCACTTTCCAAGGGAATCAGCTGCTCCAAGTTCCTTTTCCCCTCAGCAATCTAAATGCTAAATAGATCTTTACAGTAATTACCATATCTGAGATGAGGAACATTTTTCCCCTGCAAACACCTGATGCTCATTAGCAATATTTAACCTGTCAGATGTCACCTCGGCTTGCTCTAAACTTTCTTGACGGCGTTTGTCAGCTGTCTGCAAGTGCTGAGTCTCAGCTGAAGCACAGATCCTTCGCACAAGAGAGAGAGGCTTTGAGTTTCTGGGAACACCTCCCATTTGCTTTCCCTCTGGTGTAGATCATCTGCAGATTTTTCATGGAAAATATTTCAGAAGAGCCTCACAAGAGGACATTTGGTGTTTTGCACCCTATTCCCTCCCACCAGACCCAGAGCAGCTGTGTAACTGGGTGAAATGGGGCAGATTGTGAGGGGAGAGCTCCCTTTCCCACTGTGAAGGAATTGAGAAATTGCCTGATGTTGAGCCCTGTATTTTGGATAGGATACTGTATATTCCTCACATAG